CACGTCATGCCCCCCCCGTGTGACCTCACCTCAGGGTAGATGCGCAGGTACTCTTTGATGAAGGCGCTGGTGTCGGGATGAATGTCGTCCCACACATTGGCACCTGAGGGGAAAACAAACAACTGATTGTAGGATTGATTGATGGATTGATGGATTGTTGGATTGATGGACTGTTGGATTGATAGATTGATGGATTGATGGATTGATGGATTGTTGGATTGATGGATTGTTGGATTGATGGATTGTCCACATTGGCTCCGGGGGTGGGGGGAGGGACAAACAAACAACTAGGATTGTCCACTGGAAGTAATCAGTGGGAACAAAAGATGACAGATGACCAATAGAAGAAAAGTAGGTTCAAAGGAAAAACACACGTTTGTTGTTGTTGTTTTTTAAGGGAGGTTAGAAATACGGCCAAAATTGTCCAAAGTGGCCTCCCTTTGTCAGGTGAAAACTGGATGTCTTAGACAAGGGGACATTTGTACAGGTGGATGTCTTAGACAAGGGGACATTTGTACAGGTGGATGTCTTAGACAAAGGGGACATTTGTACAGGTTGATGTCTTAGACAAGGGGACATTTGTACAGGTGGATATCTTAGACAAAGGGGACATTTGTACAGGTGGATGTCTTAGACAAGGGGACATTTGTACAGGTGGATGTCTTAGACAAGGGGACATTTGTACAGGTGGATGTCTTAGACAAAGGGGACATTTGTACAGGTTGATGTCTTAGACAAGGGGACATTTGTACAGGTGGATATCTTAGACAAAGGGGACATTTGTACAGGTGGATGTCTTAGACAAGGGGACATTTGTACAGGTGGATGTCTTAGACAAAGGGGACATTTGTACAGGTGGATGTCTTAGACAAGGGGACATAATTTGTAAGGTAAGTAACTGAGCAGAGGTCAACTGTAGGTTCTAGCCAATGAGAACAACAACGGCTACATTGCCCCAGGAAGAGACTTGGATTTGGACTTGCTTGACTTTCTACAAGGGAGAGACATGGTCAGTACGTTTGGAAGGAAGGTGTAAGGGTGTGTCTCATCAGTTCAAGGTCACCCCACCAGTGTCCACGGGAAGCCATTTCAGTCCTCATCACAATCGTTTCTATATTTGTCAATGTCTCACACAAAATATCTACCACCAACCTTTTCTATATTTGTCACTGTCTCACACAAAATATCTACCACCAACCTTTTCTATATTTGTCTCTGTCTCACACAATAGTTACCACCAACCTTTTCTATATTTGTCTCTGCCTCACACAATAGTTACCACCAACCTTTTCTATTTGTCACTGTCTCACACAATAGTTACCACCAACCTTTTCTATATTTGTCACTGTCTCACACAATAGTTACCACCAACCTTTTCTATATTTGTCACTGTCTCACACAATAGTTACCACCAACCTTTTCTATATTTGTCACTGTCTCACACAATAGCTACCACCAATCTTACTGTTACCTTCAGATGATCTCGCCATTTGTGAAACTACGATTGCTAAAAATAGCCACCAGTGAAAGGCCTTCCATCATTCCCACAAACAGCTCTGTGCACAAATACCAAGCTGAGAAGATAGTCCCATGAAGTAATCACATTCAAGCTCAACTCTCTGGATTGTTCAAGCACACACATGCCAGTCGGCTATTCCCACTTCTAAAACAAGAAACTATCGCGAGTCTTACTCTGCATGTAGACCTTGTGCAGTTCTTTGGCTTCACAGTACTGAGCATAGCCGTCATCGAAGAAGACGAGGAATCTGCCAAAACAAAATCAAATATGTCAGGAGAAAAACAATACTGTGTTCCAGGTTTCAAAATGGTGAATGTCATCAGTATGTCAATAGGAAACCGTTGCACCATCTTGGTCCAGTATGACCAGAGGAAGTAGACTGCCCAAGAACGACTACCCTCCCTTCAGATCTTCACTTGCCTGATTGGCCCCAAAGAAGAGAAATCTCCCGTAGCTTTGGAATCCGGGAATGTCAGCTTGTGTCTTACCACTTCATCGGTGACAGAAGGAGAGATTCCTTATGGCAGACAGATTTTGATTTTTTAATTTTGTCACAGAGGTGGCTTAATGACCTACTCTTCTACGATTTTCAACCACCAACGGATCTTTGACATGCACAACAAACATAACCACAGTGCAAGACACACAGAAATCTTCCAGAACTTTCCCCAACTGACCTACCGCATGTAGCAGAAATGTTCCCCAACTGACCTACCTCTTGTAGAACAAATGTTCCAGTGACCTACCTCTTGTAGAACAAATGTTCCAGTGACCTATGAAATGTTCCAGTGACCTATGAAGTGTTCCAGTGAACTATGAAATGTTCCAGTGACCTATGAAGTGTTCCAGTGACCTATGAAATGTTCCAGTGACCTATGAAATGTTCCAGTGACCTATGAAATGTTCCAGTGACCTACCTCGTGTAGAACAAATGTTCCAGAGACCTACCTCATGTAGAACAAATGTTCCAGAGAACTACCTCATGTAGAACAAATGTTCCAGAGACCTACCTCATGTAGAACAAATGTTCCAGAGACCTACCTAATGAAGAACAAATGTTCCAGAGACCTACCTCTTGTTGTTCTTCATACTGGGGGCCTCGGCGATGACTCCGGCGAAGAACGAGTTGGGGGCGTCGTCCTCGCGGTACAAGGCTGAAACATGTCAGGAGACACACTGTCATGCCATGTCAGGAGACACATTGCCATGTCATGTCAGGAGACACATTGTCATGTCATGTCAGTAGACACATTGTCATGTCAGGAGACACACTGTCATGTCAGGAGACACACTGTCATGTCATGTCAAGAGACACATTGTCATGTCATGTCAGGAGACACACTGTCATGTCATGTCAGGAGACACACTGTCATGTCATGTCAGGAGACACACTGTCATGTCATGTCAGGAGACACACTGTCATGACATGTCACAAGAGACAAACTAGCACCAAGAACTGGTTCTACAATACCAAACACAACGCTAAAGCACAACAAGAACGCACAGCTCCAGAGTTACAACACTCTGCAAACTATCTAAACACTGAAAAAACCACTTTCACGTGTTTTATTTTGACATTTATGTCCAGAATTTTGAAGCCGGTGGGAACGGTGCAGAAGAAACATGACAAAACACAACCATCACGACAAAACACAACCATCAAGACAAAACACAACCATCAAAACAAAACACAACCATCATGACAAAACACAACCATCAAGACAAAACACAACCATCAAAACAAAACAGAACCATCAAGACAAAACACAACCATCAAGACAAAACAGAACCATCACGACAAAAACAGAACCATC